ACTGCAAGAATTACTGACCTCATCTGGCCCTCCAACTAATATCCCATGGTCCTCATCCATGTGGGTACAAATGATGCAGCCAGAAGTATTCCGGGCCATATCATGAGTGACTACAAGGTTCTGGGGGCCAGGCTTAGGAGATCAGGGGTGCAGGTAGTCTTCTCATTGATCCTCCCAGTCAGCGGTCATGGCAAGCATCAAGACAACTGTATTAGAGAAATCATCTTGCAGCTCCAGGGTTGGTGCCATCCTGTGGGTTTTGGCTTCTTCAACCATGATCTGCACTTCTATGAAAGAGGCATGCTGGGATGTGATGGTCTTCATCTCTCTTTGAAAGGTAAGAGTCTGTTCTCTTACACATTGTCTGATCTCCTACATAGGGCTTTAAATTAAGTTCATTTGGGGATGGGGATGCAGAAGACAGAGATAATCTAGGATCAATGAACCACGAGCCATGCACTAGTCCACATAAGTACTTTGGGGCCCAATAGACATCAGGACAGGGGGGTACCAAGGGCACTTATCGAGGGGCTAAAGTGTCTCTATACCAATGCTAAGAGCATGGGAAACAAGCAGGAGGAGCTCACACTCCTGCTTGCAAAAAAGACTTCAACCTGGTTGGATTAATTAAAACCTGGTGGGACCCTACCCATGACTGGGGAGTAGGCATTGAGGGCTATAGGCTGTACAGACACAACAGAGTGGGGAAAAAGTTGGGGGGAGACATTGCTCTCTATTTTACAGAACAATACACGTCCCCTATAATCAATATGGGATCAGAAGAGGGGCAAATTGAGGTACTGTAGGTCAGAATACAAGGAGGTCAGGGGGAAAGGGACTTGGTAGAGGGGGCCTATTACAGACTGCCATACCAGGAGGATGAGCTAGACCTGAAATTCTCAAGGCAGCCCTCAGAGACAGTACACTAAAGGGACATGCTTGTCATGGGTAACCTAAACTACCCCAACATCTGCTGGGAGCAGCAGCCAGCTAGATCTGACCATTCATGTAGGTTCTTAACCTGCATACAGGGCCTTCACCTAACACAGGAGGTATATGGTCCCACTAGGGGAAATGCCTTTCTGGACTTGAAGTTTGCTACAAAGGATGACCTGGTGGGAGATCCGCAGATACAGGGTAAGCTAGAGGTCAGTGACCACCAGTTGTTAGAATTCACTATCTGGCAAAAAGTGGGAAAGATAACCATTAGGACAGAAAAGTGCTAGACTTCAAAAAGGCTAACTTCAATGAGCTCAGAAGATTAGTAAACAAGGCACTGAAGGACAAGAGCATTGGTGAGATGGGAGTCCAGGAAGGGTGGTCATTAGGGCTGTGTGAAATTTCACCAGCTGTTTAGATTCAACACTGTTTCAACTCATTTCAAGCTCAAAACAGTGAAATCAAATTGAAATGAAGGGCTTCGAAACAGCCTTGAAACAAAACAAGGCTAGTTGAAATGTTTTGAAAGTTTCAAAATGTTTGGAGTTTCAAAGCAGCCAGCAGAGAGGTGGTGAGAGACAGGGAAGAACCAGGGCAGCACTCCCAACACCAGCCAGGAGTGCAGCTCTGGCTCTCCCCATCCCCTGTTGCTGGGCTGTGGGAAGGTGATAACAGTGAAGGGGAAGGGAACTGAGCCCGGGCTCAGTTCCCATCCCCAGCGCTAGATCGGGCCTGATCCAGCGCTGGCAATGGGAAGTCAGCCCAGCTTGCCCACCCCCAGCCCACCATCTAGCGTTGGCGATGGGAAGCCAGCCCAGCTGGGCTGAATTCCCTCCCCCAGCCTAATCTTCAAAACAGCATCAAAACAGCCTCACTGTTTTGACAAAGCAAGACAGAACAGCTGTTTCAAATTGAAAAGAAATTCAAAATAGAATGCTCTTCCGTTGAAACCTCAAAACTCAAGGCGAAACAGAACGGTGCCAATTCGCACAGTCCTAGTGGTCATTCCTCAAGGGAACAATCCTTCAAGCACAGAAAGGGACAATCCCATTGCACATAAAAGGGGGCAAAAGGGCCAAGAAACCCTCTTGACTGAATAGGGAAATACAGGAAAGCCTAGGGATGAAAAAAGAGGCATGCAGACTGTGAAAGGAGGAGTTAGCTACCAAGGAGGAGTATACCTACTTGGCTCACACTTGCAGGGAGTCAGTTAGAAAGGCCAAAGCAGCAATGGAACTCAGGCTGGCAACAAAAATTAAAGACAACAGAAAGTCCTTCTTTAGGTATACAGGGAGCAAAAAGAAGGCTTATGGTAACATAGGACCCCTACAGGACAGACTAGGGCAATTGCTGACAGATAAGAGGGACAAATCTGAGCTCTTCAATGAGTTTTTTGCTTCTGTATTCCCGAACACGGATCAAGACAACTCTCCCAATAGGACTACAGACAGACACAGGAGGGACACAAACCCACCAATGGTTAGCACCATCCTAGTCAAGGGACATTTGGAGGGGATGGATGCTTTTAAGTCTGCAGGCCAAGATGATCTTCATCCAAGGGCACTGAAGGAATTGTACAGTGTCATAGCAGAACCACTGGCATGACTGTTTCAGCACTCATGGCACTAAGACAGGTCCCACAACACTGGAAAAGGGCCAACATGGTCACTACTTTCAAGGAGGGGAGGAAGGAGGATCCAAGTAACTATAGGCCTGTTAGTCTCACCTCTATCCTTGGGAAAACCTTTGAAACAATTATTAAGGATTACATTTCTGGGAGTCCAGCAGGAAAAATAATGCTGAAGGGCAACCAGCACAGGTTCATAGCAGGTAGATTCTGTCTGACTAATCTTGTTTCTTTTTACGACCAGGTCACAAAATGCTTATATGCAGGAGTCAAGGTTGATGTCATTTACTTGGATTTTAAAAAGGCCTTTGATATGGTGTCTCATCCCATTCTCATAAATAAACTAAGTGGCTGTCACATAGATGATTACACAGTCATGTGGGTGATGAATTGGCTTAAAGGACACACCCAGAGAGTGGTGGTAGATGGGTCAGTATCAATCTGGAAAGATGTGGGCAGTAGGGTCCCCCAGGGTTCAGTCCTTGGACCGGTGCTGTTCAATATCTTCATCAGTGTCTTGGATGAGGCCATGGAAAGCACTCTGTCCAAATTCATGGAAAATACCAAATTATGGGGCAAAGTAAACACACTAGTGGGCAGGAAATGGATTCAGGTGGATTTGGACAAGTTGAAAAAGTAGGCAGAACAGAATAGGATGCAGTTTAACAAAGATAAGTGCAAAGTTCTGCACTTAGGGAGAAGGAATCTCCACCACACTTACAGACTGGGAGATGACTTCCTAAGCAGCACGGGATCTCAGGGTCATAGTCAACTCCAAGATGAATATGAGTCATTATGTTGTGACAAAGTGATCACTAAAACTAACTGCACTCTATCATACATCAGCAGGTGTATCACGAACACATCTCGGAAGGTGATACTTCCCCTCTATGCGGCTTTGGTAAAGCCGCAGCTGGTATACTGTGTTCAGTTTTGGTCACCACACTTCAAGAGGGATGTGGAAAAACTTGAGAGGGTCCAGAGGAGGGCTACTTGGATGATTAGGGGCCTGCAGGTCCTATGAGGAGAGATTGAGGGACTTGTATCTCTTCAGCCTCTGCAATAGAAGGCTGAGAGGGGATCTAGTGGCTGTCTACACATTTGTCAGGGGTGGACAGCAAGGAATAGGAGATGCTCTGTTTACCAGGGCACCCCTTGGACTTACTATAAACAACTACCACAAACTGAAAGAGAGCAGATTTAGATTAGACACCAGGAAGAATGTCTTTATGGTAAAGGTTACCAGAATCTGGAATGGGCTTCCAGGGGAGGTGGTGCTCTCCCCTACCTTAGTGATCTTTAAGAGGAGACTGGACAAACACCTGGCTGGGGTCACCTGACCCCACCACTCTTTTCTTGCCTAGGGCAGGGGGTCAGACTCGATGATCTACTAAGGATGCTTCTGACCCTAAACATCTATGAAATCTATGTTTCTAAAACAAAACTTTCAAGGGCAGTTGAGTGACAAATGGAAGTACCATCCTAATATTTCTGCTCTAACAAGTGAGCCTCTAGTATGTCAAGCACTTATAATATCAGTTAGTCTTAAAATGACCATGTTAAGAAAAAAAACTGTATCCAAAAAATCAATTTATAAAGCAAACTTGCAGAATACATGTGGAGAAATCTTTCATGGAATCCATGTACTCAGCCTCACAATTTTTAGAAGGGAATATAAGCTCTTTGTCTCACATTTTGCAAAAATTGGGGGGAAAAGTAGTTAAAGGGCATGTGTAGATGAAATGGAGGCCCCAAATTGAAGCAGTGAGTTTTTAAACCCACCACTTCAATTTAAGGTGAAGTAAACCCCATGTCATGCACACACCCCACACTTGCCTCCCTCTCTGGCAGCGGGGAGAGTAGGGCAAGCTGCCAGTGGGTGGAGCGGTCCCTGGGCTGGAGTGGGGAGTGGTGCTTCCCTCCATGGGAGTGGCAGCCACCCACAGGCGGCCCCTGCCCATAGGCACCCGACTCGGGTGGTCCCAGTGAGCACTGCAGCCGCAGAGGGAAGCAGGCAGGCTCCCTCTGGGGGTGGGAGAAAATCAGGCTCGCTGCTTTTCTTGGGCAGAGCCTGCCTTCCCAGGATGCTGCCAGGCTGCCTGCAGGGCTTCCTGCAGAGCCGTGGAGCTGCACAGAGCCCGGTGCTTCACTCTGCAACTGTAGGGGCAACAAACTATAAGTCCTCAGAGGAGTTTTAGTTTGCTGTGTCCCAAGTCATTTAAGGCGTGTTATGCCAGCAAATTTCCTACAGCAGCTGGAATTAAGGCGCAATATGCCACTGAGGCATGCAAACACCAGCACCATTAAAGTAGTGCAAATGTATTTAGCCTGCTTTAAAGTGTCATGCACAGATGCCTCTCATTTTGTCTACACACAGATACTGTTGATTAATGGGTGAAATCTGTGGTGGGGAAGGGGTTAGATGTTCTCTTACCTGTTGCATACTACTTCCCAGCGCGAGAATCTTGAATTCTGACTTATTAGGCTTGGATCGTCTGGTCTTGATGCTCCAAAAAGCTGATCTGTACACACATCACACACATTTCTACCTGTGGCAAAATTCCAGTAAGGCAGTGCAAAGGACTCATTGCCAGTCAGTTGCTATAATAAAAAGAAACTTATTAGCACTTATTAACTTATTATTATATCATGTTTTATAAAGTGAGAGAGAGATTACTGAAACCTACTTGATTGTTTCTTCTATATTTTTTATAGCTGAAACCAGTCTACAGATTTCCCAGAATATTATTTCAACTTCACTCAGGATATTAGGCCATTGGTGCCAAGTCTATCAAGGTTGATAGTGCTCTTAAGTAATTACTGTAACATTTGATGGCATCACCTGGTAAGTGACTTCTAAGTTCCAAGTTCTACTGAGAGCATTAAAAACTCCAAAAATGACAATTCTATATTCCTAGGAGTCTCAGGAGAGGGAGAGAGACTGTACAGAGAATAAGCCAGCATGTTGAGTGAACTAACCTGAGTTAAACCAAGACTGAACTACCTCTTCACCCCTTGTGAATGAACAAACATCCTTAACATTTCACTGTATAAGAATTTACTCTATCCCAGATATCAGGAACACCTTGACAGGCTGGATACCTTCAAGTCAGCCGGCCCTGATGGGTTACACCCAAGGGTACTCAGGGAGCTGGCAAGCATCATAGCTCAGCCCCTGGCACAGATCTTTGAGAGCTCTTGGTGCTCTGGTGAAGTGCCTGATGATTGGAAGAAGGCAAATGTGGTGCCTATCTTCAAGAAAGGGAGGAAAGTAGATCCAACAAACTATAGGCCCATCAGCCTGACTTCTATCCTGGGGAAGGTCTTGGAAAAGATTATCAAAGAGGCCATCCTTAACAGACTAGCTGAAGGCAATATCCTGAGGGATACCCAGCATGGGTTTGTTGTGAGTAGGTCTTGCTTGACCAATCTCATTTCCTTTTATGACCAGGTGACTTATCACCTGGACAAGGGGGAAGAGATCGATGTTGTATATCTTGACTTTCAAAAGCCTTCGATCTGGTATCCCACGATCACCTCTTGGCTAAACTGGCTAACTGCAGCCTCGACCTCACCACAATCCGCTGGCTGGGGAATTGTCTCTGCAATAGGATCCAGAGGGTGGTGGTCAATGGGAGCCAATTGTCTTGGTGCGCTGTGACCAGTGAGGTCCCCCAAGGCTCTGTCCTAGGGCCTATACTATTTAACATCTTCATCAATGATGTGGACATTGGTGTCAGAAGTGGACTGGCCAAGTTTCCCGACGACACCAAACTCTGGAGTAAAGCATCCACACCTGAGGACAGGAGGGTGACCCAGACAGATCTTGACAGGCTCATGAAGCGGGCAGATGAGAACCTGATGGTGTTCAACACCAAAAAATGCAAGGTTCTCCGCCTTGGGAGGAAAAACCTGCAGCATGCTTACAGGCTCGGTAGTGCTACACTGGTTAGCATTACAGATGAAAGGAACTTGGGGGTCATGGTTGACCACAAGATGAATGTGAACCTTCAGTGTGATGCTGTGGCTACATCCAGTTTTGGGCTCCACAATTCAAAAAGGATGTGGAGAAGCTTGAGAGAGTCCAGAGAAGAGCCACGTGCATGATCAGAGGTCAGGAAAACAGGCCTTATGATGAGAGGCTGAGAGCCATGGGGCTATTCAGCCTGGAAAAGCGCAGGCTCAGGGGTGATCTGGTAGCCACCTATAAGTTTATCAGGGGTGCTCATCAGGATCTGGGGGAACGTCTGTTCACCGGAGCGCCCCAAGGGACAACAAGATCGAACGGTCACTAACTCCGCCGTGACCAATTCAGGCTGGACATAAGAAAGAACTTCTTCACTGTATGAGCCCCCCCACTGTATGAGCCCCCCACTGTATGAGCCCTCCAGTCTATCTGGAATAGACTGCCACCAGATGCAGTTCAGGCACCCACTTTGAACACCTTCAAGACACATTTGGATGCTTGTCTTGCTGGGATCCTATGATCCCTGCTGACTTCCTGCCCCTGGGGCAGGGGGCTGGACTTGATGATCCTCTGGGGTCCCTTCCAGCCCAAATGTCTATGAAATCTATGAAATCTATTATTAGTCTATTAAATCTACCAGGTTACTCCAAAGAAATCTGGGATGATGCAACAGAGCTTTGTTGTAAAATGGAAAAGCCAGAGTATTAAGAGATATATGAGCATCTTTGAAAGATACCAAGACAGGCTGTTTGACTTACCTGAAGATCTCTTTCTAGCAGCAGCAAGTGATACCTATGCCAGGTAACGAAAGCAGGCCCTTGATGTGAGAAGTCTATAGCAGTGAATGGACGGCCAGGCCCTAGAACCAGAAGGCACAATCAGAACTTCATGTCAACTTGAAATTAGACAGAACACTTCACAGAATTACATTCCCAGTTTGAAGCTTGATTCCAAAACAAACCTCACAATTTGCACTATTGGAAACAGATTCCAGCAGAAATTGTTGGATGGGCAACTCTTAATTTAGAAATTGCTGAAAATAGTCTTCAAAATTCAGTCAGATTTTTTTTTACTTTTAAAAGCAACTAAAATTTAAATTAATTTCTTTCACTTATCTTCATTTTTTCAGAAATCCCACCTATTATCTAATATGTATGGTCTCCCTATGTATTCAATGAAAAAAATACAATACTTCTGTGAGAAAAAATGAATATGTCCCATAATCAGATGCCAATTTTAAAGATCATTTCTCTTACCACATTTTTTAAAAGCTGCATCTATTATATCTGATCAGTTTTTGTTTTTATTTTTCTCCCACCCTGACTGGCACAGCAGAATTGAAGGAGACAGCCAAAGTGACAATAGCTGATTGCACTATTTGGCAAGAAGGTACACTATGGAAAAGGGAGAGAAATTTGGTAGGTTTTTTTCCCCCCTTTCATTAGGAGAAACTATAGAAAGCTAATGACCTTGCCACTGTTTCCATCAGCAGTCTCTTGACAGATTCAGCAACAGAGCTGCCCACGCAGTTTCAGCATCCCTCAGTGGATGCAGTTTTACCAAAAAAAAAGATTCCCCCAACCCCAATTAAGAGATGTGTATATGTTGCTATCAGACAGTTCTGGGATATCTATCTCAGCCTGTACATTCACCAGGCTGCTGTATTTGGGTCCAAATACACCAGACCCATGTGTTCTTAGCTTCCCCAGTTCCAGTACATGCCAACAATTTCTCTGGTTCCAGCCTCTCTGGCACACTTCCTTCGTACAAACTCTCAGCTTCCCTTTCATGGAAATGGGACCCTGTGGCTCATGCCCCCTACAGCTGGTACTGATACCAAAATGCTCCAGGACCTTTTCATAATGCCAGTATTGTGTGCATTTTACAGCTTACCTCCTTAGGGACATGAAGTAGCTGAAACAGAGGGACACACAGCTTGTAATGGGTTCCAAAACATAATGGGCCAGAGCCTATTCCATGTACTAGGCATCTAAATGGACTTAGATACCAATGTACAATTCTATTCCACTTTGCTTGAGTCCCTGAAAATATATTAATGCATCTACTTTTGTAATTCATCAGCTTCTGACCCTTAAGACTGAGTCATATAAAAGCTGGAAGGAAGAGGAGGACCCACACTTTCTGCATTACCTGTTTTTCAGGGACTCAAGCAGGTTGGAGTTGATGCCTAATAACCTCAAGCAGGGTAGAGGTTAGGTACCTAATAAATAAAATAGAATCTGGCCCTTCTAATTCTATATTAGGTGGTTTAAACAATAAACAGATTTAGAAAAACTAATAAATACACCTGCCTTAGTTTGCTACTATTCTAGGGGGTGTTTTAATGAAATATGCAGTAGCCTATTTTACTGCACATTAAATCATCACATAAAAAACCATTAAATGACACTAATGCGCAGTGAAATAGGCTACTGCACATTAAGCGTCACCTAAAAGTCATCCTAAATTATTACCGCACATTAAGGCAGCCTAATGTGCATTTGTTTAGTACCTCATATTGGAGGTACTAAATTTAATGCACATTGGGAAAAGCACCTTAATACACATGTAGGTGCACCCTAAAATGCTCTTTGGGTTTAGGTCAGTGTCTTCTTTGGAGACTAGATCTTCCTGCACACAGCTTCTCCTCTAGAGTCTGTAGTATCTGTCTTTCTAAGCAGCCAACTTCCTTCTGTTCTGTCCTAGCTCATATTTCTGCTCTCTCTCCCTCACTACAGAACCTGTACAAAAGCCTCTTTAATAGCCTACAGTTCCCTTTGTCAAGTGCTCCCAGATCAGCCACATCAGGTGACAGAGGTTCCCTATCAGATGACCCATTTCTTAGTTAGTTCAGCCTTGAAAACCAGCTTGCCCTGGGGAGCAACCATCTCTTTATCCTAGAATTTAACAGACAATCACAGTTGAACCAAGCTAAGCACTGGCCCTGTGCCAGGTGTGAGAATTTCCTTTTAGCTTAAAAAGTTAAAAGGCAAAAGGTGGCAGAGACGACAAACAGGCTCTCCAATTCAAATGGAGTTTGAGAGCTAAAAAAATACGTGCCTAGAGAGTCCTAGCACCAAACAGAATTAGGAAGTTACACATAGATAATTCAGCTTGCCACAGGAGCCTGTTGTTCAAGACAGCACATTCCTTTCTTCCAAAAATAAAATCTCTTGTATGTGGCTATTTATTTTTAAAAGAGGCCAGCTCTCCTTTGCTCAGGGACTGCCCTACTAGTATTGCCTCCTAATCCCATCTAGTGAGCATGGTGGACCATGACTCTGATCTCTGTGGGTACTTAAAGACATTTGAGGAGGTTAAATTGAGTTCAAAATGGTCATCTGATCTAAGGTAAGTCAGGATGGGATGGCTAGCAGAGGGGCTGGGAGAGGATCAGGGCAAGCAGAGTCTGTGGGGGAATCAGAAGCATTAAACAGAGTCTATGGGGGGGATCAGTGAGGGAAGTGGAGTCTGCAGGGAGGACTGGGGGATTGCGGAGCTAGTGGGGTCCATGAAGGGGATTGATGAGAACTGGGAGGGTTTGGCAGGATTGGGGGGGCAAGTGGGGTCTGTTGGGTGGGGGGTGGGAGGATCAGGAGCATTAGTAGATTCTACAGATTCCGGCATGGTAGCATCCAGGAGGAAAGGGGGGCTAGCAGGGTCCACAGGAGGTGCTGAGGGGAATAGGGGGGTTCCCCTTTCCCCCCTTCCCAGGGTCAGGGGTTATTTAACTGCCCCCCTAGGCAAACCTTCTCCCCCCAATCCTGCCTGCCCCTCCCCCCATCTCCATTTACTTCAATCAGCTCCAGGCACCTGTGAATTCTGGTAAAACTGGCACCAGGAGTGGCTTGTAGGATGGGGCACTTGGCAGGCCTGGGGGAGGCTGACTGGTTGGCCAGGAGGGAAGTTGTAATTCTGGAGGAGTGGGGAGGAGCTGAGAGGCTAAAAATAACCCAGTACCAGGCGCTGCACTGGGAACTGTACAGAACTTGAATTAGATTAGTCTCTCTGGACTCAGCCTAAGTTAGACTACTTCTGAGATGCAGTTAACTTAGATTGGGTTGGCCATTTTTAGACTGATCTAACCTTCCTGAACTTCTGTACAGTTCATACTTAAATCCCGAGTTAAGTCAACCTAAGTGTAAAGTTTGCACCTGGGCAATCTAAGTTAAATCAGGTGGCCGTTTCTAATATGATCTAACCTTACCATAACCTCCCTAAACATCTGTACCTAGCCTATATAACCTCCACCCCTTCTATTGAAGCTGGCCCCAGTGGGGCCAAAAGGCATGTTGGCCAGAAGGTCTATTGCTCAGTGGGATAGTCACTGCCCCCAGAGAGAGGGGCCTTACTGGACCTGGTGCCTGCTCCTGTCCCTCTGTCAATTGTATATAATGTCTATAAAATACCAAATGCAAAAAAAAAACATTGAGGACAGGAGCAGAAGCCAGGCACACTCCTGCCCAGGCTAATGTTAGCCAGATAAGAGCCATTTACTTACCTTAAAGGGATTTGGATTTAGGCCCAGCTGTTTGATGCAATGACAATGCCCAGAAGTGATATTTCCCAGAATGTATAAACCATATAGCATCCCTTCATTAGAGTTACAGCACATATAACAGGCAATTCTCTCCCTGATCCCAGAAAAGAATAGCTTGCCCATCCAGCCAGACCACACTAATCTAGCCACAGCATAGCTGTTGTGAGACTTACCTCATTTCTAGCTGACAGATACAAACATATCCAACTGACACAGAAGGTACTTCTGAAGATGGTAACAGATTCAGAAATGCTGTTTATGCATTTTATATAACAACTGTAATGCAAAATGCATAAGCAGTCCCAAAGCAGAGGCAAAAAACTAGCATTTTCCTGTGCTAGTCATACAACCTCTTGCTTGCTGTTGTTCTGGTCCCATGATTAATGTATTCCTTTCTACACAACGGTGCAGCTTCAACAGGATGAAATCTCCATCCAACCTGGCTCCTAATCTGGTGGTTAGGGCTCTCCCCCAGGAGTCAGGAGATGTGGGTCTGAATCCCAAAGGAAGTGTATAATAAAATAAAACAAAACAAAAAAACTGCACCCAGATCTCCTGAGCCCTCAGTTAGAACCATAACAATGAGACCATCCTTACTTCTGCTGTGATTTGAACACTTTTACTCATACTTACCTTTTTGTCAATAGTTACACTTCTACCCTGTTCTTTATTTTCTAGATCCCCTTGTAAAAGAAGGCACCAACCTAATAGGGTGTCCCTGACGGAGTAGTAATGAAGCCACACAAAATAATTATAAATACTACAGTTTGCAACTTGTGGTTCAGTTCCGTTGGACCCAAGCAGACTCAGCCAGTGTTGAGTAGCAATCACATAATCTGGGTGAATGGTATTCTTTGCACGGTCTAAAGCATCTAAGAACTGATCTCTCTCTTCTGCTGTCATGGAATGGATGTTCTTCCGGACAACTAGTGGCTTCTTTTCATCACAGTTGGAGCCAGTCCAGCCAAATTTGCAGTTACCACAGTTATAGCCAGCAAAGTTCCCTGCATTAAGAGAGAGCATGGGTTCATGAAATAGTGTAAATTAATCAGAACACAAATGAACTGCATAATTATTTCATTTGTTAGTCTTCCTTGCCTCCAGAGATTTCAGTTCTTGCAGTGTGCAGCAGCTGAGTAGATTGGCTGCTTTGCCAGTTGCTTAACTAAAAGGATGGCTCATTTCCCAGAAACACAGCAGGGCCAAGAATCACATGAGGCTGCTTATCATGGTAAAGGCTCAGATAAAAGGCTTGGTTCTGAAAGGTGCTAAAACCTTTGGGCCCTGATCCTTTAAAGTATTTACATGTCTGAGCAGCTTCACTGAAATCAAGATTAAGCACTTCAGCAAAAGATGTTATTGGGTGCTGCTCCTTCACTGGGCCTGCTGTACTCAGTAACTTCCAGGATCAAACACTGAACAGAGTTGTCTGACAGATACTCCTGCTCTTTAAATACATTTAAAAAAGCAGGAAGCAAGCTCTTTCATTGTATTTAAACATGGGATAAAGGCAAAAGCCTGAGAACTACAGGACTCTGTGTCATGGTAAAAATGTATAAGCGGGATCCAATGTATAATCATAACCTCTAGGAACCACTGCAAGGATACCAATGTTGGCATTAAATGATGCTGCAATCTTATGTGGGAGTCAGAGAAGTAGCATTTCGCGGGGTATGGATGTTTACCTTTACCATTAATTAACCATTAAGTCCAACACCATTAGGTAAACCTATGTTAAGTACTCTCTGAGCCAGCAACTTAATCTCCAACATTACAAAATAACTCCAAAGACTTGGTATCAAGAGCCACAGCAATACCTATGCTTCAGTTTCAGCAAATTCATACTTTCTACAGTCAACTTACCTCATATCAAAGTTGAGTTTCTTCTACAGCCACTTCATCAGGTTATTTTTGTCAATATTGTCAGTCATTGGCTACAGTAAGTGACATACTCTTATAACTATTTAACAATGGAATCTCTTTCTGTTCTTTCTAACCCAATCATCTTATGTACTTCCACAAGCTAATGTCAGAACACCTTTTTCTACTTAATTAACCAATAAGCTTCTCTTAAAAAATTGTAATGGAAAGATAATATTATTTAGTTTAAGAGCTAGACTAAACTTTAGGTTTTGCGCTCCAGAGTGGAAATTAAACACATGTTTACAATACACAAATTAAACATAGAAATGGAAGGAGAGGCAAGAGTGATTACTGATAATAATTACTTACAATTTTTCAGTGAACCTAAAGAATTGTATTACTCAACAACTTCAGTGACATGCCAGAAATCATATGACCGCAGTTTTCTCTTACAATAATCACTTTTAGTGAGTTTTGAAAAATGTAAGTCAGATGCTTCTCAGTTACTGACACCTTGGAGTTTGTGTAACTCAGATTAAAAACTAGCCCAGAGTTTCCAAATGAAGAATCCTTTCAATATGAAGTTGATAACTCTATTAAAATACTGCCCTTTGATATAATTAGCAATACCTGCTAATTAACAGGTCCAGATGCATTCAGAAATTTTAGTTGCACCATGCTTTTTCTAATTCCAAACACACAGCATATCCAAAGAATGAACTGCTTGACCACTATTCACTCTGGTATAGTGGAACGAGCCCGGAATTGCAATCACTGCATTTCATTTTAAGAATTTACCAAAGCCAAGTCAAACCTTAGTTACAGTCGGAGCACTTAAATGAATGAAAAAATTTATGCCACAGATTCAATGTTGCCATCTGAAAAGAATGAATTATTTAGTGTTATTTTTCAGTTAGATTCATGCCAGGACATACTTTGCAGTTACCAGAATACTGAGTCAACCTTGTACAGAAAACAAGTTTTTGAAAGCAATGGGTTTATCACTGCAATTCTCTTTCGGCACAGGAGGAAAGGCACTGGATCTCTCAATTGCATTAATCAGAATCTAGTCTTCAGTTTAAAAAGAACTAAGGCATTACATCTACTTAGGACTAGAAAGGGGAAAGAAAACTGTACAGTACAGTGCATCATTCCACTGAAAAGCTAAATTCAGAAAATCGTTAAAGTAGCCTGAAGTTTTAAATGTGTCCTCAGTGGAAGTTATTTGATGTTCAGCATCAAGTTAAAATGAAGCTATTTATTAGGGTATTTCAGCACAATCTTTAAGCTCTTTCTGAAAATCTTGGTTGCCATTGCTTTGAAAATGTTTCTCTGGTACCCCTAGCTATGAGCTACACCAGTCAGTCCAATAAAATCAGACTCCTATTATGTGAAGTTACACACCAGCCATCTAACACAGGGGTGGGCAATGTTTTCCAGGGGCAGGCCAAAATGGCCCAGCTTGGGATGCAAAGCTGCCACCATGACTTGCCCCTGCTGCTGCTTAGCTTCAGTGTTGCATAGGTGAAGCACCCAACTGCCTGGCTTCAGTGCAGCATGGAGCCATGTGGGAGAAACCCCCTACTGTATCCAGCCTACAAGCCATATATTGCCTGATGAAGACAAACACAAAATATTGTCCAACATATATTTTAAAACATGGATGTTCAGAAACAGCCGGTATAAAGAATTAAAGAAAAAATGCACAGATATAAAGACTCACTTTGAAGAAACAATTAAATATTAAGCCAACTCCTGCATTACCATCAGGGATCCTGGTTTTCTCTGATTTAAAAAAAACAATATTTGAATTTTAAAAAGTAACCCAAAATCCATATTTTTCTGTGATTAAAATGAAATGTCACTAATATATATATTAGTGACATTTCATTTTAATCACAGAAAAATATGGATTTTGGGTTACTTTTTTTTCGTCCAAAAATTGGGCATTTATTAATCAGAGAAAACCAGGATACCTGATTATCACTGGTCTTTTAGCACTCCCTTGGGAAACGACCTGAATTTGGTATCAGTGTGGCTACATCAGAATAAATTCCAGAGGAAAAGTCATCTCTTGGGTTACAAATGTTGCTCCCACTTCTGTGTTTTATCCCTGCAGTACTTACAGAATGGAAACTGAAGAGAAGAGGAAAAGTGTAAAAGGGACCTGAGATAAAAAAAAACAAACTAAATAGCAGAATGAGAAATGAAAAGAGAAAAGCAAGATTTGAAGATGTATCGAAAACAACAACCCAGAAGAACAAATGCTCTAGTCAGGTAGTTTAGAACCCAACACTGCAAACACCAGCACTAACAAAGGTATTCATGTGAAAAGTACTCCTATCCTACTGAAGTCAAATCAAGCAAGTGGGACTAGTCTGAGTAATGCTGAGCACTTGAGGAAATGTTTACAGAATTGGGGCTTTAGTAACCTAAGCTCTAGGAAAATAGGTTTCAATCAAATCAGTCCTTCAAAACCAAAAATCATAATGTAGGGGCATTTTGTCTGGACCACAAAAAAAGCAAAATCCTCTCTGCTCTACACAAACCTTTAAAATTCCACCTCATTGAGCATGTCTACACATGCATTAATGTGCTTTTCCTAATGCACACTAAGTTTAGTACTTCTGGGCACTTTTACACTTTTACACGTACTCTGGGGGTGAGAGGGGTAGTGCTTTAATTAGAGTGGCTTCAAGAGCCGTTCTAATTAAAGCACCACCATGTCTTGTGTATCAGTGTCTCTGCACTTAAAAATAGCAGCAGCAATGCTTGTACTAAAGCTCATTTGATGAGTTTTAGATCAAGTGCCACCGCCGCCAATTGTTAAGTGCAGGGACTCATATACACAAGATGGAGGACGCTGCTGGAGTGCAACAGTTGCCACAGTTAATCAATTAATTGAGTCTGCTTTGATGCACTGGAATTCCAGCGTGTGGAGCAGCCTCCATGCTTGTGTATTGGCATCCTCTAATATGAGGTACTAAATAAATGAATTTAGGTGATGCTTAATGTTCAGTAGCCTATTATATTGTGCATTAGCATATTAGCATAGTTTTTTACGCGTCACTTTAATGCATAGTAGAGTAGGCTACTGCACATTAAAGTACACATGTAGATGCACCCATTGTTTCATAAGAATACAGTTAGAACAGCCATTCTTTTTCAGAATTTGCACATATATCCTTTCACACTTACATAGAGTGTAGGTATCTCCCAGGGTGAAATGTAATTCAGCATGCTGGGTATGCCTACATGTGTATTTTCGCTGGCTTAAATATAATGCACAGAAAGTTACTGCACAGTCAGCAGGAAAAAGCCGGCATCTACACATGCAGGAATCAAAGTGCATTAACATTGTGTGTAGACTGGTTTAGGAATAAAGTTACTCCCATGTTAGTCCACACACACATGTGTTACTGTGCTGCAACTAATCAGGCATAAATTTGATACCTGTATGATGTAGGTATCAAATATATGCTCAAGTCAGTGTAAGTCACCATATTTCCTGCACAGTACAGGTGTGCATGTGTAAACGTGCACCTGTACTGAGCCATAATTTTGGTTACTACACAATAGATGTGCATGTGTAGATGTGCCGGCTGTGCACTTAGGCACTGATTAGTAAGTCCTGCATGCATAGAAACATATTTATGCACATGCTTAAAGGCTTTTTTGAATCAATGCCCAGGTGGAGATGTGTCACACTGCATTTAGCTTATGAAGCAATGTGGGATTTTTCAAGATGAAAATGCTACATTATATTTTCAAATCACTCTACAAACAAAGTGCAATTGGATTTTTAATGTAAGTCTGGACAAAGGCCAAGAGAGAAGGGGAAAACAGATTTAGGCTGCTAGAACCTTTTAACTTTTAAGTGGAGCTGGTAGCACCACCTTTTATTCAAGTAGTGCCTGGTATCCCACACTATAAAATAGCTGATTATAATTTTGTGAAACTTTAATCACTTGCACTGAAGTTTTTTCTATAATATTTCAGCTTCAGGCTGATTTTCTTTGGAATGTTCGAGCCAAAATCTGTTTATCCATTTTTAAGAATGAGAGTAGGTAAAAATATAAGTTTCTATGTCAACTTTGGCCTTTTCTTTGAACAGTTCTAGAAACCCACATGCTTTGGAGCAGGACCTGAAATAAATCTGGCTTTTGCCCTCCCTCTAAAAATCTGCTCAAATTCAGCAAGTGAAAAACCTTTGAGCGAAAAATAATGTAGGATGCATCTGCTCACTAAATGTTAGCAATTTAATCCCTATATCTATGTATTAGTGGTGTTTCATTTTAATCACGGGAAAATATGGATTTTGGGTTACTTTTTTAATCCAAAAATTGAGGATTTTATTTTCAGAGAAAACCAAGATCCCCGGAGATGAGGACCTATGAAGAGATCTAGGGCTTTGTATCTGTATGACCCCTGGTTGAGTATCTGACTCAAGATATGGGGGTCTGATTTGCAGAAATGCAATGGAAGCTGCACTTGAGTACACAGGGTGATATAATGGTGAGTCAGAGCCCCATAGAAAAGCCCCTGATTAAATGAATATTCACCTGCATTATGCACAGATTTGACTAGTGTATAGTATGTATGACTCTGATCCACATGTTGAACAAACAGGATAAGACAAAATACAGAACACTGCTGATTTGTTGCACGATGTCTATTCTGTGCACTGAATGAAGCAGAAGTTGTATGGAAAAACAATGTCATTAAAGTTGGTGTGATCATTCATATGCTCAAAACTGATGAATTAAGATGTTGCAGAATCTATCTTATTTCTAGTATTTCCTAACATTTAAGAGACTGATTTTCAGCTTTACATGGTTCTTTTTATACAAACTTAACACAATCATACATGCACATTCTCTGTACTGTACTGTATGTGTAAGAGTTTGCAGACCTTACCTGGATGAATAGTCCCATTGGGTATGTCCAGACAAGCACAGATGTTTGTTTCCCTGGGGAAAAGTAGCAGTGGCACACCTTGTGCCGCTGCTACTTGTTCCTAGGGAACACCCGTGCTATGCACACTCTGGCACGTGGCAGGTTACCCCAGGTGCAGTAGGGGATGCCCCAGAAGCCTTACCTGGGGTTTTGGGGGGCCTTCTGGGGCTGGAGACAGAGCAGAAAGCCTGGCCAGCAGCAGAGTGTAGCTCCAGCTGGCCAGGCTCTGGTTTTGAGTGGTGTGTGCTGCTACCGCCTGCACCACCCTGCTTTTTTTCAGCATGGGTTTTTTGACCCTGGGATCTCCCAGGGTAAAAAAAAAAACCCCACACTCCAAAGTAGCAGCATTGGGAATGCCTGCATGTGCAGTGTGTGGCACTGCAGACAGGTCTGTGACACCACATACCGCATGTCCGCGCTCTTCTGGACACAGCCATTGATGTCAGTATACCATAGGACACTAAGGAGCTGAAGTTCACATAGTGCATTCATACCTAAGGATTCCTAGATCAGATCATACTACATGAGCAAACTAATTAACACTGATTTTGCTGTTTTGTCTACACTGCAAATGCAGCTTGTAACAGAGGCCTGTTTACATTACCATTTCTCTCCACAAAGTTAAATCACTCTTCTGTCAGATTACTATCTTTTTGCAGGATAGAGGGGGCACTATTATTTATAAACACTACATTAATTGTCTAGCTGTAGCCAAAGCTTAAGCACACTTATTAAAGCATTATCAAGTGTTTTTGGCTTTAGCCTAATTATTACAGCAGGTCCATTTAGGACTGCAAAGTAGGACTGAGTGAATTATGCTGAGGGACAGCTAGTATCAACCAGACACCAGGAAATCTTCATCATGGTATGTATACTCTGTGGTACAGCTCTTCTCTGGTAGTAATTAATATTCAGTTTGACATGTAGTGATACAGCTCAATATGTACCCCATTCCACAGTCCTAGTAGTCACAAACGCTGTCCATCCTAACAAAATAGCAAGGTTGAAATATGAAGGTGAATATCCTTCTGGCTAGAGCATAAATGAAGTTTCTTGCTCGCATACACAGGAGGAAAAAAAAGAGATAATCATGTTTTAACCCTGACTGGACTCTAAGGCCAGCACATATTCCCATCCTGTTAGTATAGCACAATAGCCATGACAGTGGTGTACTGGGAATCCTAAAGTTGAAGTCTTCCTGAACACTTTTCCCCGGCCAGGGATTTTCCTACCTTTGCCCTTATCTGGATCAGGGTTATCAGGGCTCTTCCCCCCTCTCTCACCTGTGCATTGGCAGCTCTGGTTGAAGAACTTTAGGGGCCATCTTTCCCGATCGTCCACGTTCCGTAGGGTGTAGGGGCCACTCCATGGCCTGGCATCTGCTTGCACCTCTGTGCACGATCCTCTGCCCTGTCGGGAGCCACACATATTGCTTGGCTCTAGCCCCAAAGCTGGACAGCAGCGCTTGGCCCGCAGTGCCTCCACTGTCATACAGGCACGGGGAAACTGTGCCTCGGCCTGTGGGGGATAACAGCAGCTCAGGTAGCTCAGTACCATCCATCTGAACCACTTTGCCCACTGCTGTAGGAAGGTCATTACTTCTGGCCACAAGAAGCTTTCTCTGTGGTTGGCTCAGGCAGGGTCTGCAAGAGGTCAATGACAGGAGCACAGGGGTTTCATTAACAGCCTCTCGACTTGAGAGAACTGCAATTCTTTCTGGTTTCTCAGCACATCGGTGCCCTGACTGACTGAAATAATTCCTTTTGCTGCTTCTTATGTTGGTATTTGCAGTGTTTAATTTAATGCTGGACTCTAATTGCCTTGAATATGGTTCAAAAGGCAGAAGCCTTTGCTCTATGGTGCTTGCCAAGCAGTCAAGGCTTGAGGGGATTTATATAGAGGTTGGGAGAAGCCCTCATTAGAAGGATTAACACTGTACAAATCCTCGTGTTTAGCACATGACACTGAGGGTAAAAAAGAGACCAGTAAGAAAAAGGGAAATGAGTTCTGAAGAGTACTGGCATTCTGTCAAGAGGGTGAATGCCTTGGATTTATTTGTCTTGTCCGTCTCGTGCTCGTGTCTTGTGAACCAGTTGGCATTACATATAAAAAAGGATGGATAGAGGGTTTGAAGGTTTGGGGGAAGCCCTTTCATGTTATTTTTTAATTATCACCCTTAAACAAATGTAAAGTGGGAAAAAAATCCTTCAGTTTTTAAATGTTCATTCACTGAAGGGTGACACTGTCACTGAGGCATCAGCTTGAAAAATCAGGGAAAGGTCAAAAACAAAGGCTTACCATACTCATGCCTTTAACAAATACAACAAAGCCACTAATGACACTCACATCAAGAGTTACATCTGTTGATATAATGACTGAAGAATAGCCAAGGCTTGCACTGTGATTCTTTAAGGTGAGGAGTGGAGAACAACTCAATTCTTCTATTCTCTTCACAGACATGCTAAACCTGGCTTGTCCAACATACAGCCCGTGGGCTGCCATGCGGCCCACCAAGCCATTTTCTGAGGCCCAAAGTGCTGTGATGGGAAATGAAAGTAAACACTGTTCATTCCCACCCCTTGTCCCTCCCCCAACCCCTCAGCAGCTTCCTGATGGCTGCTGAAGGTCTGGGAAAAGGACAAGGTTCCCACACAGCCCACAGCGAGCAGGGCCCAGGCGCACACGCACTCCCTGGTCTCCAGATGACTTACCGGGCATCCTTGAAAGCAGGTGGAGGTGGCAGCATGGGCCAGGGCTCAGTGGCAGAGCCATGTGGGGCCAAGGCAGGAGCGGGGGGCAGTGTGGGCACACAGCCGCCAGGGCAGCAAGGCGGGCAGCAGCAGAGTGGAGGGCGCCTTTCCCATACATCCCAGGGAGGCTGCACCTGGGAAGATGAGGAGCCCAGACTGGGGCCCCAACATGTGGCAGCAGCTCTCCCCACCCTGCTCCACTTTGTGCCCAGCTGAGCCACGAGTCTCTCTCGCAGCCTCTCAGATGCACTGAGAAGCTCCCGCTCCCTCCTCCCTCCCTGCCCGCCCACCCCCTGCAAGGCAGTGAGCGGCGGAGGCTGCAAAGCACCATGCAGGTGTCTCCCACTGAGACATATCCCTCCACCTTTGATTAGTTTCCACTTTGGCTGTTATCTTTTCCACATTTGGTCTGTCAACTTGCATTATGCTTCTTTCATTAAGCATTATGCAAAAGTGTTTATTTTAGCCAAGTGTTTGGTGTTATTTCATTGTTGCTTTTATTTTGTTTTTATTTTGGATTTTAAACCACATTTCCAGACCCATTTCATTGTCACTTCCTGCAACTTCATTGGTGTCAAAGGTCACGTGACATCACTTCCTGATGTGATACTGCTTCCTGTGAGGTCTTTGAATATGGCTCGCCGGCCCACTGGGTGATAAAAAGTTCATGATCCAGCCCCACATTCAAAAAGGTTGGACACCCCTATGCTAAACTATATTTAATTTTAAGATGATAAGCTTCTTCCTATTCCATTCCATTTTTTATATTTAACTTCACTAAATTATCACAGGAGATGTATAAAAAGAATGCATTTCCATATTACTTATTACCTACCTATTTCCATATTATTTCTATACATCTTCTGTGTTAATTTAGCAAAGTTTAATACAAATCAGCAGTCATTTGAAATATTTAAGTAACTTTTCAATATTACCTACTGTGGAGAAGCTCTCCATTGTTTCATGCCATAAAACTCTTTAGGAGCCTGTTCTTCCCTATACCCACATGAAACAATGGGGCATATGTTCCTCAATATGTATTCTACGGTGTCCGTATAAGTCCTCCTTTTCACATTTCTCTCTTATACCTTTCCTGGCGGAGATGAGCATATCATAGTTTCATAGTTTCATAGTAGCTAGGGTCAGGAGGAACCTACACAGATCATCTAGCCTGACCCCCTGCCACAGGCAGGAATGAATGCTGGGTTCACAAGACCCCAGACAGGTGATCGTCCAACCTCCTCTTGAATTTGCCCAAGGTAGGGGTGAGGACCACTTCCCTGGGAAGTTGGTTCCAGATTTTCGCCACCCTAACTGTAAAATATTGCCTTCTGATCTCCACCCTAAACCTATTCTCCATCAGCTTATTACCATTGTTCCTTGTCACCCCAGGTGGTGCTGGGGAGAAAAGGGCTCTACCTATTTGCTGTTGATCTCCCCTGATGAGTTTGTAGGTAGCCACCAGGTCCCCCCTCATCCTCCTCTTGCTGAGGCTGAACAGGTTCAGGTCCTTCAGTCTCTCCTCATAGGGCCTGTCCTGCTGCCCTCTCACCAAGCGGGTGGCCCTCCTCTGAACCCTCTCCAGGCTGGCCACATCCCTTTTGAAGTGCAGTGCCCAGTACTGGATGCAGTACTCCAACTGCGGCCTGACCAAAGTCCCACAGAGGGGGAGTATCACCTCTCTGGACCAGCTTGAGATGCACCTTTGGATGCATGACAAGGTATGGCTGGCCTTGCTGGCTGCGGTCTGGCATTGGCAGCTCATGTTCATCTTGGAGTCAATGACTCCAAGATCCCGTTCCACCTCTGTGCTTTCAAGAAGGGAACTCCCCAGCCTGTATGTATGCTGTGGATTCCTTCTCCCAAGGTGCAGCACCCTGCATTTGTCTACATTGAACCCCATCCTATTCTCGTCTGCCCACTTTTGTAGTCTGTCTAAATCTAGTTGCAGCCTCTCTCTCCCTTCAAGTGTGTTCACCTCACCCCACATCTTAGTGTCATCAGCAAACTTGGACAGCATGCTTTCCACCCCGTCATCCAAGTCGCTGATGAAGATGTTATATAGATAGTCGGATGATCTGAAATTCATCAAAGTTCAACTTTAATACCTGCGGGGGGGGGGTTAGCCAGCATTAGAGGAATAAACAACATGAAAAAAGGAAAAGGGTAGTTACTAAGAATGCCCTCCTGAAACTGGCAGACAAGGTTCTTTGGGTAAATCCAATATCTTGTTTTTAGACCAACTAAAATAGCAGGAAAAATGCTTCTTTCCAAGCTCTCAGGTACAAACACTCTTCATCAGAACTCCTGGAACTGGATAGTTCATAAAGGTCAAGGATTTGTCTCATTTCCCCAAATGGCATGTATAGATAACTAAGCAGCTACACACTTGCTGTAGTTTCTTCCTTTTCATTACCTATTACCAATATCCAAAAGCTCCACCTGTTTTTTCAAAGATGACAAGCAATTACCTCGGAAATTCTAGTACAATGGGATCCTAGTCAGACACCCCATAGTAAGGATAAAGTATTCGTCATTCTTATACCAGTATTAGTCACTCTAGTCCATGGCAAAGTTACCCCTCAAAAAGTGTGCCAGTAATGTGTCCACTCCCATACCCAGCTTCATGCTGGAGTACCCTTTTCCTAGATGAAAATGTTTTTTCTCAACATGTAGAGGCTGAGGCCACTTGTACACATGACAGGGGTTTAATTCCCTAAATTGAAATGGTGGTTTTTTAATTGTGATGATTAAAAACCCACCGTTTCAATTTAGTGACTTTTGGCACTGTTGTGATGAGGGGCCCAATCCTTTTTTTTTTCACAGAGCCTGCCCACATCTCCCATGGCTGGGGGGTGAGCTGCTGGCAGCCCATGAGCTGCCAGGAGCCCTGGTCCTTCCTTCTGTGGCAGTGCCACCTGGGTAGGCTGACAGCAGGCAGGTACCACCCAGGTGGTACTGCTGCCATGGAGGGAAGACCCAGGCCCTGCACAGCTCAGGAGCCACTGGCAGCTTGCATGTTGGCTGTGGGAGAGGCAGTCGGGCTACACAAAAAAAAAAGTATTGGGCCCCTCGTCACATTTTTTTTTCCTTCCCACATGGGCTCAGGGAAACATTGGCTCTGGCAGGTGCTGCCTGCAAGTTAGGGCATCATCTGCACAGTAAGCACCCTGCCTGGGTGGCCTCAGTGGGCACCACCACTGTGGAGGAAAGGACCAGGCCCTCCCACAGCTCAGGGGCTAAATGGTCATGGTGACAGCTCCCACAGGCAGGCTCCACTGAGGAAGATGGAAAAGCAGTGAGGGGGCCTGATCCTTTTTTTTCCATGGAGCCTGCCTGCCTCTCCCATGGCCAGGAGGTGAGCTGCCAGCAGCCCCTGAGCTTTAGGGGGCCCTGGACCTTCCCTCCACAGTGGCAGCACTCCCCAAAGCCACCCAGGCAGGCAGCCAGCAGGCAGGTGCTGCCTCAGCTTGCAGGCAGGACCCAGCCTGATCCAACTGTTCCCTGAGCCTGAGCTGTGGCAGTTTCCACCCTCTAGCAGCCCAGCCAGGTGGGCCCAGGGGACACCGCTGCTGTTGAAGGAAGCTCTGGGGCCCTCCATAGTTCAGGGGATGCTCAGCCCACCGGCAGCTCACCCCCCAGCCGCAGGAGATGTGGGTAGTCTCATAGGGAAAAAAAAGGATGAGGCCCCTCACTGCTTCTGCCAAAGGCAGAAGCTTCTCCTGCAGCAGGGGAGGCAAACTGTCAAAGGCAGCAACTCACAAATAGCTACATTGCAAACCAAACTACATGTAGATGTGGTTTAGTTTGCAGTGTAGCAAACTCATTTAAATCATTAAAAACCCCGGACATGTAC